TGTTTCTGCAGAAAAAAATAAAGGGAAGATAAAAGCTGATTTTGAATACAGCATTGTTGGCTGGGCTCCCTATTACTCAGGCATCATCCCATCACCTCAAGCTTTATAGGAAAGTGAAACTCTTGCCTTACCCAATGCTCTTTCAGCCCAGTACTTTGATTGGAAAGCATCAGAAAATTCTGATGTGTTTTGGTGAAGAAACTTGTGCAAGAAACTGGATGTACTGCACTGATTTGGTTCAACATGGGGCTTGTAGATGCTGGTCTTCCATCTTGCTGTCTATGTCAAAGAGAGAAAAGGCTTTTAAAACCTGCTAAAGATCAGAAAGTGATAAAGGAAGCATCGACTCAGTCTGCCCAGTAGTCTGCCCAGTAGCTGGCCCTGGATCCCAGTCTTCCCAGTTGCTGGCACGTATGAGTCCCTGAGGCCGCAGCCCCACTGCAGTTCCCGGTGCAGACCATCTCAGCCCTCCACCCCCCCAAACATGCAGAGCTGGCCAGGACTCCCCTGGTCCCCAGTAGCCAAGCCCCCCATGGTCTCACCCTTAGAGACACCCCTGGCTCCCAGGCCACGTCACCTATGGGCTGGACAGCCCAGCTTGACCTTCATTAGTGCTCGCACACCTGCATTCGCTCCAGTTGCTGCACCGCAGGCACACAGGCCTTCCGACATGTGGTCTGGCTCCCGTTGCTGCACTTTGCAGTGCAGTTGCACTACACGCACCTTTGCTCAGAACAGAGAACTCTCATCCCAGGAAAGAGCGAGAAAGAAATTTACTATGTCGCTACAGTTGTTCCTCCCCAATTCACCTCAATCCATCCCTTTCCCTGCTTTCGGTTCCTCCCCTAAACGTCTCATAGTAAGTCCTGTGCAATCCTGAAATACTTATACGGGGGGGAAGCCCCATAATGTGCCCCATACCCCTAGGCAACAACCCCCCCTCAGTCCAAAAGGTGCTCTAGTGTTGACACATTCGATGGGTTTCACGCCTGGATGCTGGGCATGAGACTCTGCTGGGGCAGCCCTGGAAGGGGCACAGGCAAGGGTGGTTGTTCCTGAGTCCTTTAATTTAGGTTCCTGCCTGCCTTTGTGCCCCTGGGCTCCTCTGGGCACGTGCAGAAGGGCCTCTGATGGGCTGATTGCCCCTGGGATGGGCCTGGGAGTAGCTGGGACAGGGGTGAATTGGGCTCCCCCTTCCATTGTCTCTCCTGCTCCTTTGTGGGTGTGCAGACCAGCTTTTAGGGGGGGAATATTAGATTGTGCGAGAAAAGATACAACAGAGAGGATCACACCGTCCCGTCTCCTTGCACAGAACTTCCCAGACATCTCTTTCACCTCCTGGTATGGTTCTTGGCTGGACCTGCAGGGATTGATCTTCTGTTGCCTTGCTTTAGTATCTCCGTGGTGCTGCTGAGCTGTGCTTTGGTCCTGCCGGCTGTCGTAGGGCACATCGTTGTCCCAGGCCACGAGCAGATCAGGTCCCATCACCATCCTGCATCTTCTTCCAATCCCTCCCCAAACATATTCCCCCAGAGGGGAAGCGTGAGCACACCCAGGGGATGTCTGGACAGGGTGTCCTGGCCCTGCCAACCCTCCTATCCCCAATCCTGAATTAAAAAAAAGGGGGTTGGCATACTGAGACGAAGGAGGCAGCGTAGGGCAAAAAGCATAGAATTGTTAATATAGGTAGGTGCGGCTGAAATGTCCACGTTTTGTCCCTCCCAAAGGCCCATAGTGTTCCTGTATGAACTGGAGCCCTGATACCCAGCTTTGTACAGTTCTGTGAGGACAACCTTTTGCAGCTGTTAATACCCCTCTGTAGCTGGACTTCTCCCATTACAAGCAGCGGTTTGCAGAGAACCAACACCGAATCTAATGGGGTAGCAAGATAAGCAGATATTATTATATGCTGAAACCTGGGGCATGCACGAGAGGCTCTGCAGTTTGAGAACCGCAGAGGCCAGACCTGAAGTTACCCACGGCTTTGCCCTCCTGCAGAGACTCGGAGAGCAGCTCGGCAGCCCTCCATCCTCCTGGGGACGGAGGAGCCCGCGTGAAACCGAACCCGCTGCCCTCGGCCGGGCCTCAGCTAGCAGGGAGCGCGGCAGCGCCACGGAACCAAGCCGAGCACGCAGAAAGCCGGGG